TGCAGCAGGACACTAAAGGCCTCCCTTCAGGGTTGATGATTTATTACTCATCATTCTTCAGGTACAGCTGTTTACCTGAAAATCAAATTCTAACTGTATTCTCATCTAGCCCACATCCCTCCATTTTGACCATAAGACATGATAATTCTGTCAAATATGCTCTGATGAAATCTAACTGTGCAATCAATGTCTAAGGCATTTGTCTAATGAACTAACCTATTAATCCTGTCAAAAAAGGAAATGAGGCTAAGTTGGCCACTCCCCAGCCAGCTCTATCTCTATTCAAGGTACTACCAGACTTGAATTTATTTATTTATTTATTTATTTAAATTGAAGTACAGTTGATTTACAATGTGTTCATTTCTACTGTACAGCAAAGTGATTCAGTTTTATATATATATATACACACACACATACACACACACACATCTTTTTCATATTCTTTTCCATTATGGTTTATCACAGGATATTGAATAGTTTCCTGTGCTATATAGTAGCACCTTGCTGTTTATCCATTCTCTATATACTAGTTTGCATCTGCTAACCCCAAACTCCCACTCCATTCCTCTCCCACACCCTCCTCCAGACTTGAATTTAAATGATCCTATGAATTCTGTTAGGATCTTACTGCATTTCTCCAAGAAGACAAACTTCCCCACTTTTTAATTAACTACTTCTAAATGTATAAACACAAGGCAATTCCCCTCCAGTCTCCCACCCCCATGATGAGGAGAGATAAAAGAAAAACAAAAGGTTTTCTGGCCACCTTGAATACATAAACTTTTGGTGATACAGATAAAAGAATCAAATGTCTACTTATAATATCCATTTTATCATGTTAGTCGTACATATTTAAAATCACATACTATATAAAATATTTAGAAATTCTTTTCCCCCCTTTTTAACATTTCATTAAATAATGTTGTTGAAAATTTTCCAGTGTATCTTTGGCATCTCTTCATGTTCACTAAAGAGACTGAGTCTTTTACCAGTCTGTCAAAGCATTATCACTTTCCTTTCATTTATAAAAGTTATTTGAGTTACAGAACTGTTTGAATTACGATCTTTTTAACCTAAGTCCTAAGTGCCGATTTCTAGACATTCAGGCAGTTTTTTCATTCTATAGGTAGGTGTGTCGATTCACAATCTCTACAAGGTAACCACTTACTAGTATTGACTGAAGTAGCTTCAGACTTAGATCTCCTCCAAACAATCCTTTGTAAGGCTTTGTATGGAGTAGAATAAAGTGACTCACTCTTTTCTGAGAGAGAAATCTGGGAGGAAAAGATCTTGCTTTATATCCAGGTAATCAACAAGTCAAAAATTCACAAAGAATAAGGAATTCAATTACTTCTTAAACACATTTCAATTAATAACATACACTACTGCTGGGCTTCCCTGGTGGCGCAGTGGTTGAGAGTCCGCCTGCCGATGCAGGGGACACGGGTTCGGGCCCCGGTCCAGGAAGATCCCACATGCCGCAGAGTAGCTGGGCCCGTGAGCCACGGCCGCTGAGCCTGAGCGTCTGGAGCCTGTGCTCCGCAACGGGAGAGGCCACAACAGTGAGAGGCCCACGTACCACAAAACAAAAACAAAAACAAAAACAAAAAAATAAAAAAAAAAAATAACATACACTACTGCTTATGTAAATAAACGGATGCATTAACAGGAGTCTTTCTGAATTAACAAGTTAAAGTTTTCTTTCTGAATTAACACATTAGAGCTTTGCTATACTGTTATAAAAGAAGAGTAGAGAGTGGGTTACTCAATTCCCATGAATTTGTTTTCTTACAGAAGCAGCAGAAATAGTAACTCTAGCAATTTATGTGTATTGGGTACTAATTAAGTTCCAGTCACTGTTTTAAGATTTTACATATATTAACTCAATCTTCACAATGCTCCTATGAAATAGGTGCTATTGATAATGCCACTGTATTGATGAAGAAGCTCAGGCACGGAGAGGTTTAGAAACTTGCCCAAAGTCATACAGCTTCTAAGTGGCAGAAATTCAGTCAAGTTCGAGGTCCCTCCCCCCTTTTAAAAGATATATTGCCTCTTAAATTAGTAAAATTATGTCTACATTTTAGGAGACAGTCCCATGTATTAAACAGTTAACAGTGTAGCTAACAGTGTAGTAGTCTAAAGAAGATAGGAGTGAGGTTACAGTAAATTTTAATATATTTTCTGTTCTATTATTTTCTATTATCGATCCACACTGTTTGAAGGCCTAATGATGGGTTTGAGGGAGGAGTAGTTCATCCTTTGTATTTATGTTCCCTGAGCTAATCACTACCCCCATTTCAGTCAATACTTTTAAGGCAAAAGGTTCCTATTACAAAGACAGCATAGCAGAAACTAGTGCCATGTCTTCCTCCTTCTCCTCCAAACTTTTTAACTGATGGTAGAGAATCTGCCTCTCTGGGCCTACATCTCCCTTGCTATCCCAAATACATAAAACTAAGTTTAACCGTTTTCTTTGGTAAGGCAACTATCCTAACCCATAAAACGATTGTAGTGCTTCCACAGTAATCATCTGGCTGTGTGCTGTAATGGGGTTGAGGAACAGTTTCCTAAGGAAAAAAGGGTAAAATATGAACTTAAGAAAGAGAAGATAGGAGGGAAGGAGTAGCATGCAGATAAGGGAGGGAGTGTGGTGACAGGCACTGCTGTCTGACTTGTAGTTTCATGCAGGCAGAATGAGAACAGAAATTGAGGAGGTGGGGGTCCAGTCATTAAAACCTGTTATGGAACATTTTCTTGGATTTTCCTTCTTTGCGCCTTAGGCTCTCGCTTCAGAAGAAACTGAGACCCCAAGAATACGAACTGCCCTATCCTTCAGGACCCGGCACCACCCTTCTTCTGCGGCCCCAGGCCAGAGCTGGTCCCTTGAAAGCACTGCTCCCCTCCAGCCCTCGGCAGGGCCTTTCACACACCGGTCAACCGGCAAGAGAGACAACCAGAGCCTCTCCACCCCAAGGCCGGAGACCCGCGTTCCGGTCCTCGGCGGCAGCCTCCTTGGCTTCCCTTTCGGTAGGCAACCCCTGAACACTCCCACATTTTGTCGTTGAACCTGGGCCGAGCCATTCCCTAAGGGCTGAACCCAGCGCCCCCGGGGTAAAAACCAAGCTGGACTGAGGGTCTTACCTTTAACAGATTAGACGTCGCCATGTTCCTTCAACTTAGACTCTCGCGAGACGGCGCGAGATTTCGTGGCGCTTCTTGCCAGGCCACAACTGCAGGCCGGAGTTTCCACCTGGGCTGACGGGGCCCCCGGCCCACAATGGAGATATGGGGGGAGCCGGGGCGGCGTGCCAACAGCGGTGACCTCGTCCCAGGCACCTGGAGCTTCCTCACTTTTCCCCCCTACATGGTCACCGGAGCCTCCCCAGACGAAAGAGCTCATGCAAACGCTCAGGAAGATAGCAACGGCGAATGGTGAGAAGGTAACGGGAGCCGACCTGAATTGGAAGAGGAAGCATCGACTTCGCGAGCCTCCCCACTCCTTCGGATTAGCCTTTGTGGTTGCACCCGCAGAGGCCACCGGCAACGAACTTAGCCCGGCTTGGGCCCTGCAGCTCTGGTTCGGTGGCCGAGTCACGTGATGCGGCGGGCGGGGCCGCGCTAGGGAGCGAGCGTGGGAGCCTGAAAGCCTCGTCGGCCGGGAGGCTGCGGAGAGTGCGAAAGCACGCCCTCTGCTGGCGGGACTAGACGTATTCCCTCATCCCCCGCCTCGGGGGATTCCCGAATGAAATGCTTGTAATAGCTGTCTTCAAGAAGAAAGGGCACATAGAAGGCACCCACTAAATATTTGTTTGCATGAATGAATGAATGCATGCACGAAAGTGTTAACTATTAATATTTCTACTCAAGAGTGCCTGGCAGTGAAATAATCTATACGAGGTTATTCAGGTAATGAATATAAATCTTGGATTACCTGAAGGCACATTATCCTAGAACATCCTAAGCCATAAACCCCTAAGCTTTATCCCTTCAGACCTCAAACCACTGGGAGAAGAAAGAGAATATACTCTATATATAGAACCTATATAGATATAGAATATATCTAGTATTACACACGTTTCCAAACTGTTCATTGACACAATATGTTAGAAATAAATAAGGGAAGTACAGAAATAAATAAGAGCTATAGGGTAAAATAAAGCAGGCAAAGGTAATGAAGTTTGCAGGGTTTTTTTTTTTTTTTTTTGGCTGCATTGGGTCTTCATTGCTGCGCGCGGTCTTTCTCTAGTTGCGGCGAGCAGGGACTACATTTCATTGTGGTGTGCGGGCTTCTCATTGCAGTGGCTCCTCTTGTTGCAGAGCACACGCTCTAGGCACGTGGGCTTCAGTAGTTGTAGCACGTGGGCTCAGTAGTTGTGGCTCGAGGGCTCTAGAGCACAGGCTCAGTAGTTGTGGCACATGGGCTTAGTTGCTCCAAGGCATGTGGGATCTTCCCGGACCAGGGATCGAACCATGTCCGTTGCAAAGACAGGTGGATTCTTAACCACCGCGCCACTAGGGAAGGCCCTAGTTTGCAGTTTTAAATAGAGGGATCCAAGCAGGTCTCACTGAGAAGATGACATTTGAGCAAAAAGACTTGAAAGAGATGAGGGAGAAGACCAGGACATATGCAGGAGAAGAGCATTCCAAATAGGGGGAAACACAGGTGGCAAGTTGCCCAGAGTATCAGAGGAACAGTAAGAAGGTTGGTATGTTCAGAGCAGAGAGTAAGAAGAGCATAAGGACTTATATGGCCTCGTGGACCGCAGTAAAGACAGGCTTTTATTCTGAGTGAGATGGGCAATCATTGTAGGCTTCTCATTGCAGGCTTGTGAAGAGGGGAGTGGTATGATCAAACTCCCATTCCAACATGATCATTCTGACTACTGTGTAGTGAATAGAAGGAGAAGGGTAATTTAGAAAACTTTTGTACTATCTCATTAAATCAGCACAATCATGCCACCTAGTTACCCCACATTTTACAGTGATTTATTAGAGAGTAGTCTAGGCATGATTAAACAATGACTACGTGGTAGAACAAGGATTCAGAGCCAGTAGGCCTGTAATGTCCTGCCAGAATGTCAACATAGAGGTCATCTTTGTTCTACAGATGGGAAAATGGAGGCTTCTCTCTGGTCAAGGTCACAGCTGGGTCAGAGAAAAGGCCTAGTCCGGAATAAACTTTATATAATTATGGTTCCCTTTTCCAGTGAAACTGGGTTGTCTTCAACCCTAGTCCAACTCTACTGCTTAATTTAAAGTGTAAGTTGATTGAATTATAACCAACTTTATGTACCATAAAAAAAAAGGTGACAAACTGTGATGTAACAATTGAATTAATTCATAAATTAATGACCCTGCTTAAAGAATCCAATTAAGTATTTAATACTTGTTTGAGTACCTATTATGTACTAGGCACTGGAGATATAGGATTAAATGAGACAGAAAAGACCTCTGCCCTCTTGGAGTTTACAGTCTAATAAGGGAGCTAGATATTAAGCATAGTTATACAAACCAAATGTTGCTTAATTGGAGTTGTGGTAAATACTGCAAGGGTAAAATACAATGTGCATTTCAGAGCATATGGTTTGGAGGGGACTACTATTCTATGACAGTACTATTCCTATGATCTGAACTTATGACTACTTTTGAAAACAGTTTCAAATATCCCACTGTCTAACAAGACATTCCTTTCTCCCAACTCGCTTGTTCTGGAAACACCACGGCTACAAAAGTCTGATCTCAAATGAGTTCTTTCCATTTACCCCACCACTTCCTTGTTACATATCATCCCCTCCTGTTTTCACTTTCTTCCTCATCAGTTTAGACTCTATAAACCATCATTATTAAAATGTTTAAATATTTTAAATGCTTAAATATTTAATTTATTTAAAGATAGAGAACAGAAGCACATAATATAAAATTCAGAAGGTGCTAAAAGGAATACAGTTAAAAGTAAGCCTCCTTCCTCTTCCTGGGGTAATTTAATGTTCTGTATTGTGGAAGGTATTTGGGTTATTCAAGTGTATGCGTTTGTCAGAACTCAGCCAGTGTACCCTTAAGATTTTTGCAACTCATTCAAAAGAAAAAAGAGTAAACAAAATTTGAGTTTAGTTAATGATATTCATGCTGAAGAATTTAGGGACAACTTATATTTACTATTTGCTTTGAAATGTATCCAAAAAAAGGATGGAGTTTTAAAAATATTTATTTAATTATTTTATTTATTTGGTTGAGCCAGGTCTTAGTTGCAGCACGCAGGATCTTTAGTTGTGGCATTCAGGCTAGAGCTTTAGTTGTGGCATGCAGGATCTTTAGATGTGGCATGCAGGCTAGTTCCCTGACCAGGGATTGAACCTGAGGCCCCTGCATTGGGAGTGCGGAGTCTTAATGGCTGGACCACCAGGGAGGTCCTAATAACATGGATTGATGGTTGCATAGGGGACAAAGCAAGTGTAGCAAAAATGTTAATGACAGAATCTGGGGATGGGTTTACTAATGTTCTCTATGTAAAATCTTTCAGCTTGTCTATATGTTTGAAATTTTTCATAATGAAATGTTGTGGGAAATTTATTTTAATAGGCCCCCTTCCTCCACAGTCCCTCAGGCATCCATACTCCCTTACTCAGAGACAACCACAATTATAATAAATTTCTTGTGAATTAAAGCATTAAAAAAAACCCAGGGCTTCCCTGGTGGTGCAGTTGTTGAGAGTCCGCCTGCCGATGCAGGGGACACGGGTTTGTGCCCTGGTCCGGGAAGATCCCACATGCCATGGAGTGGCTGGGCCCGTGAGCCATGGCTGCTGAGCCTGTGCGTCTGGAGCCTGTGCTCCACAACGGGAGAGGCCACAGCAGTAAGAGGCCCGCGTACCGGTAAAACAAACAAATAAAAAAACATACCCTTTAAAAACTTTTTTTCCCCACTCAGCTGTATGATATAAATCTCTGAAAAATATGTTTGTGCTTATTTTTTTCACACTTCATTATAGAAATCCAAACAAGACTAGCAGACCCTAAAGCACCTGTTGCTTCCAGGATGTTTGGGATTGTTACTTCCAAAATAGGCTCTTGAAGTCCATTTTTGACACAATAGCTATAAAGTCAAAGCTTTTCATTTGTAAGAAGCAAAAAACAAAGCTTTGTGCATATAAAGGTAGTATGTAAAGTTTAATCAATAAACAAAGAACTGGTGAAAAACTAGATGGGGCATCAAGGGTTTTCAAGATTTTGGAGTGGGAGAGGGAGGAAGATGGCTATTGGGGCTTCCTAGACCTTTGGGTACTACATGGAGAAAAAGAAGAGTTCACCTTGAAAGACTGTACCATTGCCTGGCACCAGGAAGACCCACAAATCCAGCCCTAAACCCAACCCTAAGCCTAACTGTAACTGGAATTGAACTGTATCCTTATATCAATTTCTATCCTTATTCCTAATCCAGAAGATCCTTCTTTGCTGTGACAGAGGATGCCACACCTTGCCAGTGATGATGGGTGTATTACTTGCCTTTCTTGGGAGAGGGTATCTTAGAGGCAGCTGCCTTCTCCAAGTTGTATAAAAGCAATCACCTTAAGTCTGCTCAGCCCATGGGACTATATTTGGATGACGTCCTCTTCCATGGCCCCAAACACTCCTAAGCTCCACTTCCATCTCCAGAAAGTGGGACCCTGGACAAGATGGGTGACTGGGGGATGGGGAGATAAGGAAGTGAAATCCCCACTAGCAACTTATGAAACTGAGGAGAACCATCCTAAGGTTTCCACCCATAGGACAAGGTCAGGATATACATGTTATGTAATCAGTTTCTTGAAAATATCTACAACAACCTAGCCCCTTTTCTCCTCTGTTGTACATAAGTAGTAAAATCACAACCTTCAATAAACCCTCTCTGTCTTCTTCATGCCTACACCCAAGTAGCTGAACATTGCTGGACAAAAGCCCAAAACCAGGTTGAGTGGTTTCTCTTTAAACTCAAACTCAGACCTCAAATGGGAACTTAACACTACCCAACAATCCTGTCCTATTTTTCTCTGGTGGGCTTGCTCTTCCACTGCATTCCCTTGTACACCTGTTTCATTTCATAACCTCTTACTCCCCTTCCTCCTCCATAGTGGATTACCTCCAACCATACTTCATTGCAAAAATAAATGGCATCTTTCTTTTCTTCTCCCATGAAATCTTCAGACTTCTGTCCTTCCATCTTGTAATCCCTTTCTCTTACTGTATTATTGGCCAGGCCCCTCCTCCAGCCCAGTACTTCTACTTATGTTCTGGATCCCATCTCAAGAACTAGCCATCACCCATCTCTTTTGTATCATCAGTTTTTTTACCCTCTCTCCTATTTTATTCCCATCAGCATAAAAAACATGTTCAGAAGCATCTTTCATCTTAAAAGAATCCTTCCTTTAATTCCCTCATCAGTTTTAATGGTCACTGCCCTGATTTTAATTCTCCACATCTTTCAGTGCACTTCTCCACTTTCCCTTTCCTGAAAGGCTCTCCTCTCTTGGCCTCCATGACACCAAACTCTCCTGTTTCCCACATCATGGTTATATCTCT